CCCCTGGGAAAGAGTGGGTGCTGGAGAGGGGCCAAATCCAACCAAATAGGCTCGATATGCCCAGGCAGTGGCAGAGGTGGCATAGGAGATATAGGCCTTGCTCTCAAGTTGCTTATCATCTGGCCAGAGTGACAAAATGAACACTTGGGGGAATAAACTATGTATAGTAAAGGTGTGTAATCAGAATAGTGGGTGCCAGTGGGGGTAAACAGCTTTATTTCTGAATTCCTGTGATCACAAATGGTAGAACTTTGATCGAGTTGCTTACCTTCTCTAAGATTCATTTTTTTCATCTGCAAAGTGGGGACGATAACGTTTGCATCACAGTGAGGATCAAATGAGTCAACACATTTAACAAGGTACCCAGCATTCATGCATCCATTTGACAACATTTTTTGAGGCTCTATTATGTGTCAGGGGCATAAAGATGATTAGACTGTGGCCAAGAGGGCAGTTGATGAGGTATAGGCTGAAAGGACAATAAGCAGGGGCCAGAATGGTGGCTTTCAAACTGTTTTGAATGTAACTACAGCATCAAATTCATTTTACATTTGTGACCCGGTATCATTATGTATATGATACGCACAAACACACGTTTCAAAAAACAAAACTTTTACTGCATGAATGCACTCCGTTATTTTATAATTTATTCTTAAAAAACATAAAACACCTCAACACAACCCACTAATGGGTTGGTCACTGCAGTCTGAAAAACAGTATCCTAGAAAGGTAGGCAGACCTGGAGAGACATTGGCTAGGTGAGGAAGGCCTCTGAGCTTGAGTTTCATCCTTTAGGAAATGAGGATCTATCAAAGAGCTTCAAGGAGGCTGACTAGATGGGTCTTCTGCCGAGCTGGAGAACAGAATAAGCAGAAGAGCAGTGAGATTTAGACATGCTGAGTTGGAGATGCTATAGGGACATTCAAGTGGATGTCACCGCAGGCTGTCTGGAGTGTAGGAAGAGAGGCCCTGGCCGCAGACATAGATGTGGGGGCCCTGGGTATGTTGGTGCTGATTGTGGCAATGGGAGTGGAGGTATAGGGTTTGTATGAGATAAAATGCTTCATGGGAAGAAGGCTGAGGGTGGAAACAGGAAGTCAACCTTCATGGGAAGAAGGCTGAGGGTGGAAACAGGAAG